TCACGACATACTAGCCAGTATTGGCTGGGAGCCGTGTGATTCTGCGCCAGGCTTATGGAGAAAGCCGAGTGCGAAGGTACCAGGGAAGTTCCTCAAGATGTCAGTCTATGTTGATGACAATCTTGCAACGGGTCCTGATCTTGATGAACTCAAGACCGAACTAGAAATCATCTTCTCGCGTGCCCCTGGCCGTGCGATTGATGTGGAGTCTGTTCCAACCCCTTGGGGTCAAACGTGGCTCAGGTTCGACTTCTTAGGTGCTATCGTGTACTACTGCCGTGAAGCTCGAACATTTCGGCTCAATATGGAGGAGTACATTGATAAAATCGCAAAGAGATTCGAAATTGATGTCGGAAAACCGGTTTACTCGCCCAATTTTGACGAGTCGGCTTTTCTTGAGGAGGGGATCAAGATAGTCGAAGGGCATCCCTTTCGTGAGGTAGTTGGTGCCTTGCTATGGGTAGCTGCAACCGCGCGCCCGGGCATTTCTGTACCGGTGGCAGCATTGGCTAGACATGTCAGCAAACCCGCGTCAACAAGAATGGTTAAAGCAGCCAGGAAAGTGCTGAAGTATCTGGTGACAACGAGAGGCCAAGGACTGGAATACTCACCAGAACAAGAAGAGGAATTCAATAGAATATATTCAAAGTTACTACCTGAAGGCAGAGATATGCCAGAGGTGAATATCTTCAGTGATGCAGGTTTCGCCAACTGCGTAAAGACTATGAGAAGCACAAGTGGATCGATCATGTATTTCAAAGGCGTTCCAATTGCTTGGAGAAGTAACCGACAAACTGTCCGTGCTTATTCTACGGCTGAGAGTGAATATATTGCAGCTTCTGACACTATTGCGCTTAGTGAACTGCATGACTTTGCAGACTTCTATAGGCCTCTACCGACTCAGTTGGTACACACACAGAACGGCTTGTCTCCCTCTTTAGACAATGCTAGCTATGCTCTGGATCGACAACCAATCCGCGATCACAACAGCTAAAGCAACTGACACACGCCCAAAGAGTCGCCATTATGCACTTCGCTACTTGCGTGTGCGTGATGCGGCCAGTAAGATAGTTTTCTGTCCAACTAACTTAATGAAGGCTGATGGCTTAACTAAGCTAGAATGTAGTTCGTCTCAACGTAGACTATTACTTCATCACATAGATAACCCGATACATAAAGTTGAGTATGATGATTGTGATTCCTCAGACGATGAAACGGATGGGGATGATTTAGCTTACTATAGTGTAGTATATTCGGTTTATTTTGGCTTCTAGCAAAGTATACCGTAGCCATAGAAGACTAGTTAGGAGATATGACTTCCGTGGTCGTCCAGAAGACTAGGGACTTCGACACGCAACGATTGAGGAGGGGTGTTGGTCAAGATCGTAATCCTAGAAGAAGCACAAAGATCACAAGGATGAAGATCATCAAAATGACCAAGATCGCCAGGCAAAAGGTTACCGGAGCACCATCCAAACGCCCGACGGGTTTACCGTCGCGCGGGTGTCTCTGGCTTCTCCTCTCTCTCTCGTATGTGGCTCAAGTCTCCCAACACAGTCAAGGACAAAGCAACACAGGAAAGATCTCAAAGATAACCTACAGACCTAAATGCATATAGCTCCAAAATCAATGATCAGCAGGCAAAGGACCTTCAACGTATTCAGATAGAAGAAATGATGAATGTTTCATAGCTGTAGCCAGGTCGAGGCCCATAGCGTCTTGTCAATTCTGATCAATGATGAATGCCAGTGCATGACGATCGTGCGAGTCAATGGCGATAGCATAAGCGTTTCCATATGAAGCATATGAAAGGTTCCCCATGCAACATGGTATCCCAATGATGAAGCTGAGACTTCCTCCTTGCAACCCCAATGAACATCCACAGGGATCAAAGCAGCCAGAGATCATTAGTCTCAGGCTGTG